CAAGGACATTCAGATTCTGTAGCCAGGTGATTTATCAATGGTTCCCTTGTTCCGAAAAAGGCTGCCTGTGTCGCTGTAAATACTCCCTGAGAGCACGGTGCAGGCCCAGTACAAGCCTCCCGTAGGAGTTTGGCTTGACTGGATTCGCTCCAGGGAGCCATGGAGAGGGACAGGGAACGCTAGGGCTAAAGAACCAGTCTTGGAGGCCACGGGCCTGCCTCTGTGGATCTGTGTGGGTCCTTGGGGGTCACTCCCAGGAGACTACTTGCAGGCTGGGACATAGCCCAGAAACCATGACTCCGTGAGTGGTGGTGTGTTGGGGGAGGGCAGTTTGGTAAAGGGGGTGACAAAAGGCTCACACCCCGAGTGTGCAGGGCCATCTTAATGACTTCAGAGTCCCCCGGGCACAGTGTATCTTGGGGAGGGGCAGGGGGGACCCTACCACATTACAGTAGAAAATAAATAGTAATTCTTGCCTGAAAATGTTATTGGGAACTAAAACACGATGTAGCGGTAACAGAAAAAGTGTTGAATGTGTTCTGCTGATTTAAAAACATCTGCAGGCAGCAAAGCGACAACTGACCTCTGAAAATCCAATTTCCTGAATCACTCCAGACTCAATATTCATCATAGATTCAATTTAAAAAAAAATTCTTACACATCACTGCTGGGGCCCCCTTTCCATTGTGGGCCCTGGGCACATGCCCAGTTTGCCCATGCCTTAAGCTGTCCCTGCTGGTGCGAGCAGGGCAGTGTTAAGGTGTGTGGGTTACGGTGGATGGTACTTGTAGCAAGGGAAAAGAATATGCCTCTGGGTGGAGGAATAGAGGGGATGTACGATTAGGTGGCTTAACATTTCATTGCTCGTGTGGGTTTGAGTCAGGTAGGCTGTGTGTGTGTAGCAAGCCTAAACGTTTCCCAACAAAGCTTTTTGCCTGTTAATTTCCTAGTTTGTTAATCCTTAAGCGGCTGCGTCTTTGGCGGGGAAGTGGATCTGTGGGATGGATGTAAAAGCAACTGCTGACTGAGAAGACGTTCTGTTACAGCACATGAAAGCTTTCTCTGTTCTGCACAGAGGCTGTGCTTCGATGCCAATGTACTGGAGGCAGCAGTGGGGTTTGGCTGGGCACCCAAGAGGTGTTTTCCATCCCTGTGGTTCTGCTTAGCACAGGGAGTGCTGTACAGTCCTGCTTCATAACCTAACTGACGCTTTATTTTTTCTCCTGTTTTAAACAGCAAATCCGTGCAGAACAAAGTGGACAGCATTCTGGTGAGTGTCTTGAGCAGCTCTTACATTGCTTAAAAGCCCTGTAGTGTAGAGACCAGCGCCCGTGAGTGTCAACCCTGGATCTTCCCTCAATGGCAACATCCCATGCTGCTCTGCTTCATCATACTGACTCAGTCCCTCAGTTCTACCTAATCCTGTCATCCTGCCATAATGGATCCGTTCAGTGGTTCAGTCAGTCCAGGATCCGATCTCCAGGAGGAGCAGCGAGCAATGCATGATCTTTCAGAGCAAATCAGACCATCCTCCCCCGGGCAGCCCTTGTATTGCTAAATAGAGGGGTGGGAGAAGGCGTGCTTCCTTCCTGACCCCTTCATTGGTCAAGTCATGGCCTGATGCATACGATTTTATTTACCTTGCCTTGCACAGCAGCAAACATAATTATTGGTCATAGAATCTTATCTGCTAAGAAGTCTTTTTAGTCATGGCAATTAGCAAAGTAATTGAACATCTAGTTGTTTTGCCACCTCCTTTGAGTCTCTAACCATTTTGTCCCTTCCGTCCCGTGTCCCTGCCGACAATAGCAAGATGTGCAGAAATTTTCCGACAACGATAAACTCTACCTGTACCTACAGCTGCCGTCTGGTCCGAGTTCTGGGGAAAAAAGGTAGGGAACAGACCAAGATCCCATTGTGCCTTGTCTTTCACTACAGAGCGGTTCAGTGGTTAGCGCAGGAGGAGATCAGGATTCCTGGGGACTGTTGCCAGTTCTGGGAAGGGAGTGCAAGAGTTCTGGGCAGTTGGACCCTTGGGTTCTGTTGCCGGTTCTCGGAGGGATCATGGCCTGGTGATTTAAGCAGCATGACTGGGTTCTCTTCAAGCTGATGCCACTGATTCACTGTAACTCAGTTTTCCCATGTATTAACCCCCACCCATTTTATATTACTTCCCAGCCTCCTGGGTATGGGAGGGAAGGAGTCTCCAAATAATGCCTCCGAGCCTCTGTAAGTTGCTACAGAGAGGAATGTAGGCCTGGCCTGGCAACCTTTCTCAGTCTGCCCCCACTGATGCTGTCTCTGTGCTAATGAATGTTGTCTCTAATTTGATCATGTCTGCTTACCCCGTGGGAGCAGCAGCTTGGACCTGAGCTCCCTGAGCACTGCTGAACACATGCATGCGTGCAACTGGATCCGGAATCACCTGGAGGAACACACGGACACGTGCCTCCCCAAGCAGGATGTCTACGACACCTACAAGTGAGCGTGCGCACAGGGCCCAGTGGGAGCCAATGCAGCCGGCGGCCTTGCGTCGCAAGCCCTCTGGATCTTGCAGGCTAAGCAAGGACTGGCTGCATCAGTGCTTGGCTGGGAGGCCTTTGATTTCCAGCCTCAGTTCATTCATCGTCAGTTTGTAACCATAACATCCTGGATTACCAGCTCCTTGGGGCAGGGACTGTCTCTTTGTTCTGCGAATGTACAATGTCTAGCGCTGGTCCATGTCTGGGGTTCCTAAGTGCTACTGTAATATACCTAATAAATAATGTACAGCGCCTGGCGCAATGGGATCCTTCCTGCTCCATGACTGGGATACCTAGGGACTACCATAATACACCTAATAAATAATCCTGACCACATGCCAACTCTGCTAGTGATGCTCAGCGTTACTAATTCCCAATGGTGTTTCAGATACACACCCAGATATTATCCTCCACGTCAGTATAGGACCACACCCTGCTGTTCTTACTTGGGCAAAAAATCCATTGCCTGAGTCAGAATTGTAGCACCAGACTGTAATGTGTAGGGCAGCTGTTAAAATGCCGTTTCACCCAGAAGTGGCTGCATTTCAGTGGTGGAGAGTGATTTCCCGCTGTATAGGGAGTAGATCACGTTGAGTTTGCGGAGGCTGAGTTTACAAAGACCCTCTGTGATAAATGTAATATGACTTAACTAGAAGAGGTGCCAGCACCCACTGTTCAGAACTGCTGGTGATAATCCACAGGGAAGCAATTGAATGCACGGCCAAGACAATAGTATCAAGTGCAGGATCTTGGCTATTGGGATGAAACTCTCTCGCCTCTGACCCCTCTCTCTGTCTCACCCCGCAGGCGATACTGTGATAACCTCTGTTGTCGCCCTCTGAGTGCTGCTAACTTCGGGAAGATCATCCGGGAGATCTTCCCGAACATCAAAGCCAGAAGACTGGGAGGACGAGGACAATCGAAATATCCTTGTACGCTAAATAACCACTGTCTACACCTCAGAGAACTAGCCCATGCAAAGGGACGATGTCAGCTTCGCTTTGTGTGGACAGGGTTGGCTTCTTTTAAAATTTAAAGAACGAGAATGAATGGGAATGATTTGTTTTTAATTGATTGGTCCTTACCTTTTGCAGCACCGCAGGGGATTGGAGCGGTTGGAGCAGGGAACTGGGAGCAGGACTCCTGGATTGTATTCCCAGTTCTGGCAGGAAAGTGGTGTCTAGTGGTTAGAGCAGGGGGGCTGGGAGACAGGCGTCTGGGAGGGGGGTGGTAGTGAATGACTGAAATAAGAAACTGCATGTTAGGACTCCTGGGTTCTGTTCCCAGCTCTCATTAACAAAGTGTTGTGGGATCCTCTAGCACAGAGGTTCTCAAACTTCATTGCACCGTGACCCCCTTCTGACAACAAAAATTACTTCACGACCCCAGGAGGGGGGATTGAAGCCTGAGCCTGCCCAAGCCCCACTGCCCCTGGTGGGCGGGGGAGGGGGCAAAGCCCGAGCCTCACTGCTCTGGGCAGGGGGGCCAAAACTGAAGCTCAAGGGCTTCAACCCCAGGCAGGGGGGCTGCAACCTGGGCCCTGCCGCCCAGGGCTGAAGCCTTCGAGCTTTGGTTTCAGCTCTGGGCAGTAGGACTTGGGCTTCAGCAAGTCTTAGCCAGCCCTGCCGACCCCATTCAAAGGGGGTCCCGACCCACCGTTTGAGAACCAGTGCTCTAGCAAAACAAAGACAATGAGGAGTCCGGTGGCACCTTAAAGACGAACAGATTTATTTGGACATAATCTTTCGTGGGTCAAAAACCCACTTCTTAAGATGCATGGAGTGAAAATTACAGATACAGGACCAATTCAGTCAGGGTGGATATGGTCCACTCCCAATAATTGAGGAGGAGGTGTCAATACCAAGAGAGGGAAAATTGCTTTTGTAGTGAGCCAGCCACTCCCAGACCCTATTTAAGCCCAAATTAAGGGTGTTACATTTGCAAATGAATTGTAGCTCTACAGTTTCTCTTTGAAGTCTGATTTTGAAGTTTTTTGTTGAAGGATGGTTACTTTTAAATCTGTTATTGAATGTCCAGGGAGATTGAAGTGTTCTCCTCCTGGCTTTTGTATGTTACCATTCCTGATGTCTGATTTGTGTCCGTTGGATACAGACTAACAGGGCTACCCCTCTCATATCTAGCAAAACAGTGTTGCCAACTCTCATGGTATTTGGCAGTTACCTTAAAGCCCCGGCTCTTAGAATCATGTGATTCCATGAGAAACCTGGCTTTCCTATGACAACCCCCACCCCAAGTTTTTAGCTCTCATAGTTGCTAAGAAAAGCTTGTCAATGCAAACCCTAAAGGCTCAAAAACCAGAGGGCAAATAAAAAAGAACCCAATTTTACTATTATTTTTAGATCTGGTGATTTTTTTGGGGGGTGTCTGACCCATAATGGTTGAACATGTGGGATTGGCAGTACTGTTACTCTAGAACACACTTTGGGATCCTCTCATGAAAGCTAATACAAAAGGAAATGTATCATCTTTAAACCCCTGATAGATTTTTAAGTAGGGCTGTCGATTAATTGCAGTGAATTCACATGATTTAACTCAAAAAAATTAATCGCGATTAAAAAAATTAATTGCGATTAATCGCA